GCCCGTATACGTACGTGTGTGTGCGCCCGTATACGTACGTGTGTGTGTGTGTGTGTGTGTATGAATTTATGAATGAATGAGAGAGACAGACGTCTCATCCACATTGTTGAAGTCCGCTAAATATTCCGCCATGACATTGAAAGTCTTTCAGATACTGAAAGCTACTTTACTCCAACACAACTAGCACTGACAGCCTTGGCCCTCCTCTCTCCAGCTCTCACTTACATTTCAAACATTGTCTGTCGACATACGTTAAAGGTTAAATAGTTTTCCCAGAGAAATGACATTACAGACGGTTTAGCGACTGCTGTCTGCCGTGTTCTCCCTAAATACCAACATCAAAAATGTTTGTGGCCTATCTCTTACAGCGTAGTCATGCAGTTAGGATGATATCTTGGGAAAAGTTATTCGTCATTTTCTTTGCGTCGTCTTGTAAATGCCTAGCAACACTGTCAATTTCCGCTTGTTACATTGCATACCATCTTTTCAAAATAAACTTCAATCTTCACAGGAAACGACTTGGTTAGGTTTATGCAACAAAACAACTTGGTTCAGGAAAAGATTGTGGTTTGGGTTAAAATACCGACGCCAGTGGCGTTTTTAAGTACGGAAGTTACGGGACAATAAGGCGATGTCGCTGAACGGGGGTCTCTTCGGTGAAAGTCCCATGTCTTTGGATCCACCCTGACCTCCGCTATATGTGGTGTTTGTTGCTGTTTATGTTTCCTGGTCAGATTACGTGGATTACATACAAGTTGATTCTGTGGGTTATACACAAATTACAGAGCATTACTTTTCATATGTTTAGCTATGAACCATGTATGAGAACAGCCTGAGTCAAGACATCAGGGGATCACTTTGTTCCCACTTCAGACAGGAGGAATGATGATAGCAACATATTGGCACATGCATATTGTATTAAGATGGACCATTCTGCACGATCATTTAAAGTCACACAAAGATAGGCATCTGGTGATAAATGTGTCTTATTCTGAATCTATTATGTTTGTGAGAGCAAAGCCTTTTAAATGCTTAGTAGGAAGAAGTATAAACACTTGTTCTACAACCTTTCTCAAAGTTAACAGTTCTATTAAAATATACTGAGAGGACGAAAATCACTCTAAGCACAGCTTTTTAAGGACATTGATCAATTATTGGGCAAGACTTGCATCCTGAATTGACTTGGACTCGACCCAGAATACATAATGATGGCTCTGGCTGTATCAGACCACAATGAGAGGAGAGAAAATTGCTGCAGGACTTTGGCAACTAACTTGATAATCACAGATTGTGCTCAGATGTCCTTCAAAGGGTTTACAAGCAGCTGGAGGAAAGATGTGTCTCTGCATGTTCACAAAGCGTTTACCTGTTAAAACGCTCACTAATTAGATTTCATTACCTTTCATACAGTAACAGACTTTATCTAATTGTATTCAACTGATCTGTGTCGCAGTGTTACCACAGCGATGCACCCAACCAGCTGGCTCCTCATCTCAACAACACGCAGCAGCCTTTTCCTGGTGCCGCCCCTTCCCCGTCACATGACCTAAAAGCCTCCTCTGATTGGGTGACGCACCAATACCGATCGAACCTTAAGGTGAGGCGATGGGGTCAGTCGGTTACGTTGACTCTTGAATGATACATCAGATAAATTCAGAGATGTTTGTGCTTTCAGTTTTCCTTGAAAGAGACTTGTTATCACAACACATAATACAAAGTGTTAAGATTTCATCAGTTCACAGTCATTTAAGTGTCAAAAATTTATGTGGTATTGATTTGTGATGGAAAATAATACACACAACATCCTTTAGTGTGTGTGTGTGTGTGTGTGTGTGTGTGTGTGTGTGTGTGTGTGTGTGTGTGTGTGGCGGATATCCTCTGAAAACGTTTTCATGTGATTGTAAGTGATGTTGCCTGAAACCATGGATTAACAGAAGCTCTCTGTTGTGCAGGCTGAAGAAGAGCAGTCCCGTTGTGAGGAGGCTGAGTGTCTTCGCTCCGAACAAAGGTCAGAAAGAAGTTGTACACAGATTGGAGCGATAAAAGACGTAGACAGGCTGTAATTTGTGGGATATTTCTAAACCTCAGAGATGAGCAGAACAGTGTCCTCTATGTTCGTGAAGAGAGAACCTGTAGAGAAAAGGTCAGCGGCCAACAAACGCATCTTTGATCAGGCAGTTAACAGTGTTCATACCACTTTGTGGTGTTTGTGCCGCTTCGTCCTTACTGGTCTGTTTTTCGACAGACCCTACCTGTGTCGTTTCATACTCAAGCAACTGAGTGATTTCATATTGACTGACATTAGTGTTCTGGAGCCAAAATCAAAAACAGGGAAAAAAGACAAAATATGACATTTTTGTGGCAGAAATACAGTGATAGAACAGAGTTGTGGCTCCAAGAAAACTCAACAGATTTAAACACACAGTTCTAGAGAATTTAAAGCTTAAAGGGTTCATTTGTCTTCTTCTAATATGTATACATCAGCGGTAACTTGAGAAATCTTAGTTTCATTAAGAAATAGTTATGGTTTCATGACTCTAACTGAGGAGATAGACTTTTAATACAGCCAGAGTTAACGCTTAACTTACCAGTGTTTCCAAAACCAGAGACACCTGAACCTCTTCCTACTCCACAGTGTGACCTCCAGCAGCAGGCCTGCCTCCTGCCTGCTCTCCCCAGCCCTCCTCTGCCTCCTTCTGGCTGCAGCTCTGGCTCTCGCCTGTCTGATCTGGGTCGTCCTGGAGCCTCCGTGTCACTGCAGCAGCAGGTTGCCTCGAAGCTTCCACCTGGCACTGAGGTACGTCAACGGACCCCCACCTACATGAAGACCACCCAGAGACCCTCATCACCATCGGAAAATCCGAAAGAGTCTGACTTGTATGGCTGTTTATTTTTTTTACAAAAAGAAAAAAAGAACTTGTAATTAACGTTGTAGAAATGGCGTTAGCGCTGTAGAGAGATGAAGTCAACAGTCATATCCAGAAGAGATTTATGCCTCACATTACTACGTACAAAGATGAAGCAGAAGCTAATAGTTGTATTAGAAGATGGGTTGCCTTGCTTTCACAGGTTATAATTTAAACTGCTGTCTGTGATATTGTAGCTCAAGCTAAATGACACTTTGACCGCCATTCATGTCGAAATTATGAAATATGTTGCACTTGATATTAATCACTAACGTCCTTGTTACACTGTGACAGCGCTTGTATTTATAATTAATTGAGACGTTTTGCAAAATAACGAAAGGAAATGTACTTAAGTTAACATTTATTACTGTCTTTTTTTTCATGTTTTCGCCCACTACATATTTGTACATTACTGCTGGCATTTTTTCCAAACAATCAAAAGTTTGAATGAATGTTTTTTCCTCTTTGCAGCTTTTGTTTTCAGTTTCAATCAGCTTGCAGAGACCTACAACAGTCAGAAGAAAATCAATCCATTAAAGTCAAGAGAAAGTCTATTTATTAAAGCCAAAGTTGTGTAGTTGGTGTGCATTTGAATACTCTGTATGTCTTTTCCAAAGACCAATAATTACACTGTGACCAAAATAAAATGATGGTTTATTTCCAACTATAGTTTCCTGTCTCAAAGGCACAAACATTTCTGTATTATGTAATAACATCACAACAATAATATTACATCGTCAGAGATAAACAAAAATAACAACAAAAAAATTTTATGAAAATAGAAAACAGAAAAACAGAAGAAAAAAAAAGATCTTCTAGAAGACCAGAATAAATATGAAGATAACAGCTCCACCTGTACAATAACTATTAAATATAATAGGCCTATGATATAGATGAATAATATAGAGCAAAACACAAACGGGGCCACTATAAATATTATATTTAAAATATAATTGTATATGTATGTGCGTATGCATGTACGTGTGCATGTGGGTGTTCATGTATCCGTGGGTTTCAATTTGTTGTCAGGCAAAAAAATAATTTCAATAATAAAAAAATAAAAAATATATATACTTATATGCATATACAATTTTAATATTAATAGGATGGTGGTGTCAAAATATAGTGAAGGATGACCAGATGGAGTGGTGTTCTGTTGTATTGTATATGATGGAGGAGGTTAGATTTTCCATTGAAATATATTCTATCATTAAGTTTCTCCAGTGTGTGATGTGTGTGTTATTCCTTGATTTCCAGCTCATGAGGATAGTTTTCTTGGCGATAGTTAGGCCCACGAGGAGTAATCGGCGGTTTGTTTTGCTCAGATTTATTGTTGAAATGTCTCCTAGTAAGCACAGTGAAGGCGATAATGGGACGAGGCAGCCCAGGAAGACAGATAGTGACTCAGTTATTTCTTTCCAGAAGTGTTTAACTGGTGTGCAGTGCCAGGTGGCGTGAACATAGCTATCCGGGCTATTTTGAGTGCAATGTGGACAGATATCTGACGTGAATCCCATTTTAAACATTTTTTGCCCAGTGTAATGAATTCTGTGAAGTATTTTATATTGTATTATTAGTTGTAAGTTGGCATTTTTAGTCATGAAGTAGATGTTATTTCAGATTTGGTTCCAGAAGTCAGCATCAGGAGTGATGGACAGGTCTAATTCCCATTTTCTTGATGGTATGAATGATGTTTTGTCAGACTGTGGTATTACTCTACATATTTTTGAGATTAACTTTTTTGAGGAGGGGATATTAATTAATTCTGAGGTTGAGGGGGGTAGTTGGTTAGTGGCCTTAATGTTAAGTTTGGATTGAACGGATGATTTGAGTTGCAGACATTCCAAAAATGGATTGCTCCCGATGCTGTACTTCTGAACCAAGTGGGGGGAATGAAACCAGGGTATTGTTATTGAAGATGTGCTTCAGATGAGTGATGCCTTTAGCGGACCATGTGTGGAGATTTAGAGGTTTCTTGTGGCTTAGAAAGTCAGGATTGTTCCATATGGGAGTAAAATTTGAAGGTGCAAAAGTGATGTTTGTGATTTTGTGGAATTTCCACCAGGCTGTCAGAGTTTCTGCTACTGTTAGTGTTTTGAAACAAGGATGGCGTTTGATAGATTGGCTGAGAAATGGTAGGTCTGAAATCTGAATGTCCTTACAAACTGTCTGTTCTATATCTAACCATGTGTTATCTGATTGATTGGGGTGGATCCATTTGATGTATTGAAGTTGATCTGCTAGAGTAGTGGAAAAAATGTGGAGCTTCAAGTCCTCCTTGTGTTTTTGGTTTTTGGAGAGTGACCCGTTTAATTCTTGGTGTCTTATTTTTCCAGTAGAATTGAGTGATGATTGAGTCAAGCGATTTGAACCTGGAGTGGGTTGAGATGGCATCATTGTGAATAGCAGGTAATATATTTTAGGAAGTATTGTCATTTTAACTGTAGCTATTCTGCCCATGAGTGATAGTGGTAGTTTCATCCAGCGGAGGAGGTCGTCATTTATTGTTATAAGTAGTGGAGTGAAGTTGAGTGAGAATAGCTCTGACAGCCTGGGGGAATATTTGTTCCTAAATACGTGATGACACCTGTGCAAAAAGGGATATGTGGTGTATGGGCTGCCCCATCTCCACTGTTACTATCTAATGGAAGGATGGATGATTTGTTCCAGTTATTGGAGTAGTCGGAGATATTAGAGAATGATTCAATACCTTTAATAGGTTCCTGTAGTGATGAGTAGGGGTTTTGGAGGAAGAGCGATATATCATCTGCATAGAGGCTAATCTTGTGATGGGTGTTGAGTGTGTGAATTCCTTTTATATAGATGTTCTGACGAATGGCTGCAGCTAATGGTTCAATGAAAATGGTGAAAAGTGGGCATCCTTGCCTAGTCCCCCTGTGCAGTGTGAAGCTTCTTGAGATTTGTCCATTGGTGATGACAGTGGCTGTAGCACTATAGTTTTGTGACACCTTTAGCTCTTTTACAGATGAAAATATGATTAACTAATACATTATTATATATTAGTATATATTCAACTACCTAGCAGTATATAAAGTAGTTGGAATGAGCACCACCTTTACCAGCAGCAACATTAAAGTGAAGAACACATTAATGCATACTTTTTACAATGTGAAATATCAGAATACTTGTTCCCCCAATGACTTTGTGTCTGCAGGTTGAATGTATGTTAAATGATTGTGCAACATTCAAGAGAATTGTTTTAGACTGAAGCTACAAGTGAAGTTAGGAGTGGATCAACCTTCTCACTGTGTGTGTGTGTGTGTGTGTGTGTGTGTGTGTGTGTGTGTGTGTGT